GAAAACATGGTGGAAATGATCTTCGTGTTGAAACAAGGAGTGGGGAATCCCCTGATCAGAAGAGCAACGACAGTACGGCGTCAAAGCGATTAAGATAAGATGGTTAGTGTCCATCTCGCGCAAAGTTAAAAGCGGATTCTGCCGATAAGAACACCAGATCTGCAAAAATACTGTCTATCAGTCCTACAGAGTTCAGAGAAGGAGAGAAATCATGGTCACGGCCGATTTCCCACGTGCACGGCCCAAGGATCAGGACCTTGGATTGGTTCCTGTAATTGATGTCGTTTTCGCTGCAGAATGCTGGACCGTTTTAGGGTCTGTTTTTGGCACCCACGTGCACGACCCAAGGATCATATCTCGGGTCGGTTCTACCATGGTGGAGGGGGTTCCGGAGAACGGGATGTGCTAACTCCCTCCACCTCCCCCCCCCTGATACGCCCTAGGGTCCCGTCGGCTGCGAACATGACCGTACCCAATCACTAATTATCACGGGGTTGTTTGAAAGCAAAAAAATAACTACTCCTGTATCGGCTTTCCGTGCAAGTCATTGTGCAGGCAAAATTGCGTTCAAAATGCCACTGCAATCCTAGAGGTATTGCGCGAGGCGCACTCCAAGGGAGAATGGCCAATGCGGAGGGCTGTCCAGTTTTGTCCTTAACTGAAAAAGGATGCTCGAGCTCGAAAGATCAGGGTCTGTTGGTTCTAGGAGGCGGTGAAATCTCACCTAGGCCAACTAGTACCTCCGTATCACTCGGGTGGAGTGCTCGGTGACAAACATTCTGAAGAAATAAGACAGTTCCATGCAGCTGTTATCAGGCAACTCAGCGCTCATGGGGTAGATTTAGGCATTTGAACGGTTCTAGTAATAAGTGAATGTGTGGTGCAATTATGTTGGTTTTGTTATGATCACTTTAGCATTTTCAGATTCCGTCTGTGGTCACGGTAGAGACGCGATTCGATGGAGCACGTGTGAGTCTGATCGACTCGATAGCTGCACTCAAACAATTGCACGACGAACATCCACAGTACTTTCGATTTATGATGGAGAATCCGATTGAGTACGAGCACGCGTTCTTCAAAGCGTCTCACCACCTGGCCAATATCGACAAGAACGAGATCGTTTCGGTGAGTGAAATGTGGAAATATCTTCAAAAAAACCCAAATTCGCTGCCCGGCTCAGCTGCATCTCTGGTGGCGGATACTTCACATTCTTATGTATAGTCCTCATCATCGACGGAGATGGGCGTTGTCAGTGCGGCTGCGTTTGGCGCGGGCCAAAGTCGTTCTGCACCAGTTGTTGAAGCGGGCAAGTGACATTACTGTATTATATCCTTCGTATTACTCGTTTTCTACCACTTTTTGTCGCATACGCGTTTTAAAAAAGGATGGAAGATGTCTTAAATCAGTGTGCACGGATTATATGGTGAACGCGCCACCGTTCCATGAGGGGACATGTTACCCTTTGGTAGACACACGATCCTCAAAAATTGAAGCCACGAAGGCTTTGATTGGGCGCGGGATGGGGTGGTTGAGTAAGAGACGATTCTGATGGACGTGTGAAAGTGGTGCAGTGATATCATGTGGTTGGATTACAGGGCCGATAGGGGAAGGGGGATCTGGGACTGGTTTAGCTGGAAGGACAAAGATTTGTGGACGGGATTTTTAAGTTACATGTTGCGTTGCCATTAAGGCGAACCAGCGATGTCATGTCGAGGTTGTAAAACTGCGGGTAAGGAGGGACAGCAGTTCTGTGCTATTTATCCAGACTTACACAATCCTTATGGGCTTATTATCTGCGGAAGCGCAGATAGGATGTGCCTTCTTAGGAGTGCTACTCTTCTGAAACCAAAATTTGTAAAAAAGAGGAAGGTAACACATGATGGTTACGGTATTCTGATTCCGCTGCTTTCAGTAGAGATCAGACTGTCACTTAGTGTTATGAGACTCCCACCATGCTATTTCGTTGTTTCAGGCAGTTTTCAACAACGATTTCCGCTCCAGTCAAATGACGACCGAGAATCTGGATCTCTTTTATCGCAGCTTGAAGTCATTCTACAATATCTGCTGTGAGATGCAGCAAGAAATCTATATTAATTCTAATGAATTACTCGTCGTCGACAATTCTCAAATGCTCGTCGGTGCACCGGCTCAATGGGGACGAGAGATGCTAGTTCGTATCTTTGCTTGAGTCATTCCCGGCTTTCAAGCGTTTTCAATGATAGCGGTCTTTTCATTGTTTCCACCAAACGGTAGAGACAAGTTTGTGCCAAGTTCATATGACTTAGATACGAAATTTCTGAGACGCGCGCGGTCGCGTCGTGGTAGCGTGATAGGTTTTCCATTGCTTCTGACATTTCTAAGGACATTCAGTGGCACCTTGTGACTATAAGGAGAAGCATTTCAAATCAGTGGGAGTGTTAAGAAACTTGCCGAGCTGCTTCGCAACCGCACGTGTCCAAATCGGGTCCCCTTACGCCCACCGGAAGACGGCCAAGACAATCGTAATTCGGGCTCGGCTATGGGCGTACGTTTTCTCAGTTTGTATTAGCCTGTCGACTGGAACAGTGGATTTCATGTAAGCTATGGCTATTTTAGGTTGAACATTGCCTACTGAGCCATCTACAGACTAGAAATAATATGGTCTTCTGAAGGCGTCGAACGATATGCCTACCTAGTGCGGAGAGTTACGATTGTCTTGCCACATACCCATGCCCCCTCGGAACAGTGCTGCCAAAATTAAGCAAAATTGTGGAGACTATGACAAGGGATCGATAAGGTCCTACGCTGTCAATTTGAAAGTTGTCCTAAATGGGGTTTTTGAATGAATATTGAAAACTGCCAAGTCCACGGCTACAGTATGCCTGTACACATATCCATAACCTGCTCAGCGAGTTCCACTGGAACGTGCTATGTCAGACGTACGAACTGATCTTGTTTTGTAGTCGTACCATTACCAAAAATGTCATAGCTGGACGCTAAACAGCTTCCAGTATCCTGCCCTAACGAGACCGAGAACATCGCGTAACTGAAGCCGATAAGTGCTGATATTTTTTTTCGCCGAGAACTGTATCATTCAGCAAGAAATGTGTGAGTGAGAATGAGAAATCAGTTGCCATATTTCGTGTTCATTACAACTTTTTCTTGATTACTATTTATATTTTCTAATCGCTCAAGAAAACTGGTCCCAATATTTCTCTGATATTTAACGAGTCTAATTCACTCAGGAATTTCTTTCATGATAGCGTGTCTATATGTGTGCAGTTGTAAATAGTTTGTTTATAGATTGTTG